TGCTGCTGCTGCTGCTGCTGCCGCTGCGGGTGATGCTGCCGTGCAGATCGGATTGTTCTGCTGCTGCAGCAGCAGCAAAACAGCTGCTGCAGCAGCAGGCCCCACATGAAACCCACAGGGCCCCGCTGCTGCCAATGCTACGGCTGGTGCTGCTGCTGCGGTTGCTGTTGCTGTTGCTGCTGTTGCTGCTGCAGCAGCAAAAAGAAGCCCCACAGCATTCCTGCCGATGCACTTCTGTCGTCTGCCACTCGTAGCTGCTGAGGCCCTCGCTGCAAGCAGCATCATCAGCAGCAGCAGCAGCAGCAATAGCAGCAGCAGAAGCAGCAAAGACCCCATCGGCAGAAGCAGCAGCAGCAACAGCAACAACAACAGCAGCAGCAAAGGCGCCGTCAGTATGAAGCAGCAACAGCAAAAGCAGAAGCAGCAGTAGAAACAGTAGAAGCAGCAACAGCAGCAGCATCAACGCCACCAACTGTAGCACCAGCAGCAGCAGCAGCATTAGTTACAGTAGCAGCAGCAGCAGACCAACCGATCAGCAGCAGCCTCAGCAGCAGCAACAGATCATCAGCAGCAGCAGGCGCAGCAACAGCAGCAGAGCAGCAGCAGATCAGAAGTAGCAGCAGCAGCAGATCAGCAAAAGATCAGAAGCAGCAGCAGCAGGAGTCGCAGGTAGGTGTTTACAGTCGCAGCAGCAGCAGCAGATCAGCAGCAGCAGCAGATCAGCAGCAGCAGCAGCAGCAGCAGCAGCAGCAGCAGCAGCAGGTGGGTGTTTACTAGTCTGTTATACCCCCCATCGGGGGTGCATCAGTTGTTGCTGTTTTTGTACAATCTTCACTCGCCGTTTTGCTGCTGTGAGGCCCCTCTGTCTTTATAATAAAAGCATTACTCTCTTCTAGTAGCAGCTCCTTTGCTGCTGCTGCTGCTGCTCTTGCTGCTGCTGCTGTTGCTGATGTTGCTGCTGGTGTGCACTCCGTAAGAGCTGCTTCGCGAGCCGATAAGACACTCAACCTGCTGCTGCTGCTGCTGCTGCTGCTGTGTCTTGCTGCAGCAGCAGAAGTCCACCCCCACCTTCCAAGGAGAATTGTGTTAGGATCAAAGAACTCTTCTTCTGCTTCTGCTGCTGTTGCTGCTGCTGCTGTTGCTGCAGCAACTGCTGCTGCTGCTGCTGCTCTCTTTCGCTTGCGCCGCTTTGCTGCTGTGATGCAGCATACACCGAGAACAGCAGCAGCCGCAGCAGCAGCAGCAGCAGCTGCTGCTGCTGCTGCAGCACCAACTAAAACGCCCCCCAAAACAAGCAGAGGGCCTCCTTTCATTCCTCCTCCAGCCATTTGCTGCTGCTGCTGCTGCTGCTGCTGCTGCTCATCTGGTATCTGCTGCTCAAGCGCCTCAACCACATACAAAGAAGAATGTAGGGGGGCCCCCGGGGGCCCCTCTGCATCTGAGGGGTCCCCAGGTGTACCCTCAGGGGCCCCTCTTTCATTGCTCTCCTTCCATTCCTGCAGCCGCTCGCTAGCAGCAACAATAGCAAGCAAAGGGCCCCCTAATGCACCTATAGGGGCCTCTGTGGGGGCCCCTGTGGGGGCCCCTGTGGGTACTTCGGTGGGGGCCCCTGTGGGGGCCCCCATACCTGTGGGGGCCCCTGTGGGGGCCCCAGTGGGGGCCTCCGTGTGTGGTTGCTGAAGCGGGAGGGTGCAGCGACATTGAAAGAGGAGAGTGCAGAGGATGAGGGTTAGCAAAAGGCGGAATAGGGGGGCCCCCAGGGTCCTTTGGGGGCCCCTGAAAAGCGTGTTGGGGGCCCCCATGTGTTTAAGTTTGTTGTTGCGGTGTATAGGCAGGTGCATAGCAGCAGGAGGGGCCCCCGCTGCTGAGTATTGCGTGTATTTGGGTGGTGATTAGATCAAATAAATATAATAATTAATTCTTTTTTAACTTTTTAATAAAAGAATATGCAGAAAGACAACTAAAAAAAATAGAGAGGGGGGCCCTATCCATAGGGCTTGCTAAGTATTGATCGGTTACTGCGTAGTACGAGGGGATATCTCTGTGTTTTTTGGTGCTAATTACACCGTTTTTTTCCTTTTAAAGCTATTAAATGTAATTAAACATAAAACGGGAAGTTAATTACTGTTTTAAATAATAAAAATCGTTTAAAATAATGCAAAAATCTCCGACAGACAGCACCGCTGCTGCGCAGCCTACTGACCAGTGGTCCTTTCAGGGGCCCCCACCCCCTCATTATTTTTGTTGTTTTTCTTCGTTTAAAACGCGACAATATATTACTTAAAACATTTAATTATAATTTAATTATATTTTTCTGAATTTATTGAGGTATTTAGAGCAGCGACTTGTAGATACACCCCAGCCTTTAGAAGGACCGGTGGTCTTCTCGCCAGAAGTGAGAGGGAATAAACAAATTTATTAATGCACAACTTTGTTATATTAATTAATTTAATTTAAATTAATTTAATTTAAATAATTCAATATTATTAATTTAATTTAATTTAATTTAATTTAATTTAGTTTTTATGCGGTGCCCATTGGTCTTCGTTTGTTTAGTGCTGTCACTGGCTATACACAGCTGGCTAAGAATAGCTAGCTATATATAGCCAGCTATATATAGCTAGCTATATATAGCTATCTGTGCGTAGCTAGCTGTGCATAGCTAGCTGTTTATAACTACCCGTGCATAGCTTAGCTAGCCATGTATAGCTAGCTATCTATAGCTAGCTGTGTGCAGCTAGCTATGTATATCTAGCTGCCTCTAGCTAGCTGTGCGTAGCTAGCGGTGTGTATCTAGCTATACATAGCTAGCTAGTTGTTCACGTAGCTGTCCTACTAGCTAGCTACGCACAGCTAGCTACAAACCAACAGAGCTAGCTATGTATAGCTAGCTGTGCATGGCTAGCTATCCGAAAATCTCTTTAAAAGACAGAGACCTCTTAGGGTAACCAACATATTTAGAAATAACAGATACTAATACACATCTGTTCTTGCTGGTGCTGCTGCTGCTGCTGTTGCTGCTGCTGTTGCTGCAGGAGCTTGCTGCTGAGCAAATAAAAGTAGATAGAGGAGCAGCAAAATTATTTTAAAATGCATGTTTCTTCTTTGTCTATTTTGTGTTTGTTTTTGTCTATTAGACGAAAAAATATATTCTAGATAAACAAATGCATGCAGCTGCAGCTGCATTTGCTGCTGCTGCTGCTTCTGCTGCTGCAGGTGCTGCTGCTGCTATTCCTGATGCCGCAGGTGCTGCTGCAGCTGCTGCTGCTCCTATTCCTGATGCCGCAGGTGCTGCTGCAGCTGCTGCAGCTGCAGCTGCATTCCCTGCCTCCTTTGCATACGCTGTTGCATTTGCTGCTGCTGCTGCTGCTGCATTTGCTGCTGCTGCTGCTGCTGCTGTCGTTAAAATGAGGCGATTAAAAATCATAAAGACGGATGCAGAAACCAGCATTATAAACCCTAAACACTAAACCCTTAAATATATATATATATATTTATTTATTTATTAAAAAGTATACATATATATAATAGAATATAATAAAAATATTCTTACATTATATATATAATATAAACATTACTCAACCCTAAACCCTAAACCTTTTAGATCAGTGTTTAGAAGTGCATTAATAATAAACCTGCCAAACCCTAAACCCTAAACCCTAAACCCTAAACCCTAATAATAAACCCATTATAAACCCTAATGCAGCAAACCCTAATATATCAAACACGAATATGATAAACCCTAATATAATAATATTATATTATTACTAAATTACTAAACCCTAGTATAATAACAAACGCTAATACAATATATAATATTTAAATATTAGGGTTTACTATTAAAATAATAAACCCTAGCCTACTATAAACCCTAATACACTAAACCCTCTGCTCTTCATGAACAAAACATATAAACACGAAAAAATTAATAAATATAATAATAATATTAATAATAATAATAAATATTATTATTATTATTATCATTACTATTATTATTATTGTTATTATTATTATTACTATTATTGTTATTATTACTATTACTATTATTATTATTAGTATTACTATTATTATTATTACTATTATTACTATTATTATTATTACTATTATTATTACTATTACTATTATTATTATTATTACTATTATAATAATAATAAATACTATTATTACTATTATTATTATTATTATTATTATTATTATTAT